TTTTGTACGATGTGATTAATTTTAAGTGATATTTAATAAATATGTACCCGATTTTCCCATTATTCTATATATCATCCGATTTTATTAACAGTTTAGCATTAAAAAATTGGGTAATTAGCAAAATTTAAGATTTAAACTTATTATAAGTATACTATAATTCCAGGCAAAATTAAAATATAATTTCAAGTAAATAATTTGAATTGAATTTTTTGAATTAAATCAATACATAAATAAGTATATTATATTTGACTTTAATTAACTTAACATTTTGGGTTTTCGTTGTTTGTAATTTTGGCCATTATCCAAATTGGATCGTGTATCGAGACAACCTTTTTAAATAAAGACCAAATAAATGAGTCCACCACAAACTTTTCTTGTATAATGCAAATCATGTACACTGTCTATATATTTGTTATTTTATATTTGCAGATGGTGGAGTTGCTTCATAATCGCGTTAAAATTTTTGGTAAACATATTTGAATGAAATTATATTATTCCTAAAATTTGTAATGGGAAACCTTTACTTGTTTCTTTTTTTCTCTTGCCTGATAAGTCTGTCTCAACATTCTCTTTCTTTCTTTTTTTTCCTGTTTGTGTTTATTATTTGTTTTGGCAAACTTATTTTTTGATTATTTTAATAACTCCAAGTCAACAAGTTTAACTCACTCATCACAGGTACCTTCTATTTGATAATCAATTACACCATTTCATCCTTTATTAACTACATCCGTAACATTCACCGATATTACACAACTGTTACGACCATGAACTGCTCTTGCAAAACCCTTAATAAGAGCTTTTACTCCAGGAATTCTTAAAGAGGTTCCCATTATTACTAAACAATCAGCTTTATCCTGATCGTGTATAGCTATTTGGTTTATTTCTAACCTTTTAGGATGTGTGTCGCTATAAAGGATTACTGTTAGTTTTAATTGTCCAATATAATGTGGTCGTTTTCCTTGTTTGGCCCTAGTGTTTTCTATTAATAATCAGAAACTTATAATTGAAAATATTTGTTTAGATTGCTTTTATTCAGGAATATACGGTATTTTATATATTTACCTCTCTCTTCACATTTGGGGCAATTTGGAGCTTCACCATTCTTGTTAATATCACAATATTGCAGTGTAAAAGGACAAATGTTTATGCAAGCATTACATTATAATTTTGACAAAGTTCCATGTAATTGAACTACTTGCGCTTTGCAGCTTTCAAATACCAATCAACATGTAATCCTACTAATTCTTCGAGATTATTTATATTTTGTATATATACTCTTTTTAATTTTTTCATATCTGCCAATTTTTTTATAAAAGAACAAGTAGCTGTAGGTCTAGCTTTTACAATTAAAATTTTTAATATACTTATGAAAGATTAAATGCCTTAATAGAATTATGGGTTTTAAGCAATTGAGCATCAAATAAATCTTTGCCTGAACGAAAAGCATACGGATATTGACTTTTTATCATATTGTAAAGACCATCTGAACTTCTAAAATCCTTTTGGTAATAGTTATAAGAAAAAAATAAAATTTTAAAATTAATGGCTACTGTTGAAATTTCAAGAAGAAAGTGATATTACTTACGAGAATTCCCCCACTACATGATATACCTGCTCCAGTAATTATAATGCACTGCCTAGCATTTGCTACGAATCTATTTACTTCATGGAGTAGAAAACTATCATTTTCTGACTTAAGATTTAATTTGACTATATCCATTTATGCTTTGTAAAATCAGGAATTTGAGACATCTTTTTATATATTTTTAGTAAGGTACAAAGGTATATATTATTTTTTAGTGCAAATTGCATTAGTAATACAGTTGAGAGAGATTAAATATTAGGCAAACAAAATTTTATTCACAAAAATTTAATATTAATTAATGTTACATAATATACTAATCCATTTTTAGAATTTATGATTAAACAAAGATGAAGTCTTTCACGTAAGACGAATTTCTTCGAAAATTTTTATATAGTTCAGTATATAGTTGTTAAACGAAACCATGTGATGCTAAATGTCACATATCATTATTTAATAAAAACTAGATTAAATTTTTAGGTCTTGGTATTTTATGATAGGTGATGATTATCATCACATAGATTCGTCTAACAACTATACTTGTAGCTACAGTTCTTCAAAATGTTTGTTTAATTAATCAATTAAAAATATTTAAAAACAATACAATGATTTACCTAAATAATATTTTTAAAGAAGTAAGTACTCAAAGTTTCACATTTGATATAAACTCTACCCTCGTTATAATGGACTCTTCGGGCTGAAAGATTTTGTACATTATATCCTAATGTTATATAATATAATAATAATATTTTTAATTGTTTTAAAAAATTACTCTGTTATAATAAGGTATCCACTATATCGGAGTCTGTTATAACGAGGGTAGAGTGTAAATATGATATTGAAAAAAAGAAGTGAAAATCTATGAGTTAAATTGGATCAACTGAAATCAATTTGCAGTATTAGAATATTTTAAATGTTTAATATTTACTGTACAAAGATGAATGATTAATTTATGACTAAATAATGGCTATTTCTATTTAATTTGTGAATAGATATTAATAAAAACATTTATTGTATCTTTATTGTACAGTGAATCTGTTCAATCAGTATTTCGAAATGTGCAAAGTCTTCAAAGTTTTTAGCTAATATTTTATTTACGAGTGTTAATGAATAGCTACTGATATTCTAGCATATAATTCATAATCATACCGAAAAATTATATCATTTGTAATTATCACAAAATGACTTTATTTGTGATTGATTTTTTTCATGAATAAGCTTGTTCAAATAAGGAGGTCTAATTTTTTTATTTATGCGTTCAATAGACTTGCTAGTTTTGCCAAAATTACATGTGTAATCAATTTGATCTAACAATCTTTACTGTGTGGAAAATCTCTTTATTTCATTGTATTCTTTCTGTTGGGGTTGTTAATGTATACTAATTTTTCAAAATGAATTTATTTAATTGTTTT